ATCCGAGCATGTTGATGAGCAGGGTCACGACCAGAGCGTACCACTGGTACCCGATCAACGTGACAGTCTGCCTCTTGGCCGGGTCGTCGATCGTCGCCGGGTCATAATGCACAATCGGGTAGACTACGGTCAGCGCGTCCCAAGACCGCTCACTCACAAGGCGGCCAGTTGTTCCCCGCCACCCCCTGCTCCCTCCTCGCGAGCTCCTGCTCCCTCCTGGCCAGATCCGCCTCCCTCCTGTTCAGCTCCTGCGCCCTCGCATCGGGCTCCTGGCCAAACGACACGGTCGACGGGTTCCCATGGTCGGTGAACGGGTCTCTGGGCGAGTCGGCAAACGGGTCGGTGTCGAGCGTGGCATGCGGGGCGTCCGCGAACGGGTCACCTGAGGTCAGCACTGTCTCAGGATGTGACTCACTGGCTGGCTTGTAGGACATGGCGTGTGGTGTCTGGGGTGGGAGAATAGGTGATGGAGTTGGATCCGGTCATGATCCCATTTTAGTTGCAGCGTTGGCAATGGCACCTCACCTCGGCCACCGCCGCCATCGGGAACGCTTCGAGTCTCACTCCTGTTTGTGCGTTTGTGCTTTTGACCTTTTCCCCGGACCACTGCCTTCTTCACACGTCGACTCCATCTGTGCTGACCTCCCTGTTGAAAGAGTACACACATTGGCGAATGGCTCAGGCCGGCGTACAATACCGTCCCTGTATCGCCAAACGCTCACTATCTCGATCTGATGACTGCTACGACAGCTAGAGATGGTTTCGCTTCAGCGAGCTGAGAGGGCGAAGGAGTCCAGGGCGCAGGGTTTGCACGCGGGGATGGCTGTAAGCGGTACTGCTTGGCGAGCAAAGACACGTGTTGAACACATCCACTGCCGGCTCGCCGTTTGTGTGCTGATTTGTGGGCTGAATTCACGTTACTCGATGAAAGGATGGGGACGCTCATCCTGAAGAGGAATGGATCGTTCGCAGCGGGCTACAGCTCACTTCGAGACACCCTCGCTGGGTTGCTATGCAACGGATGAACGTGACCAGGATGCGGAGCCGAATCCCTGCTGACTCGAACTTTGATTCAAGATACGCGCTGAGAGATTTGCCCAGCGGGTCATAAGGAGTGACGGAGGGGCCCATCGCCAGCATGGCCCTTCTGATCCCTGTAGGGATCATCGTCGTCTCGGTCGACCTTGTCAGTGGGGTTTCATATTTACAGATGTCATAGCTGACGAGGGGTCAGTCAAGAAAGTCTTGGGTGATCTCAACATACCCCAACAATGAACCGCTCGTGAGGTCAGCCGTGCTGCACTTCATCAAGACGAAGGGGGCAGAGGTGGGACTTTACGTCCTGTTTGACCGGGACTCGGATGCGGTGGATGAGTCGGTCAGTGCTTAAATTACACGGTGTAACTTACACCTGGGCAGCTATTATCACAAGTCTGACCCACAGTGCAGCTCTACAGAGAGGTTCATGAGGACTGGCTGTCTTTGCACCGCCGTCCTGTGCTGGAAGGTTAAAGGGAGCGGTGTCAAGTGGCTCCCGTTAAACATCTGATCTTGTAACTGCTGGAGCGACCTTGGGTTTTCACGTATGCAGAGGAAGTTTGAGTGGGAGCTACTCATGGATGTGCATATCTTGGGTCACCAGTCATCAACAGGGTCAGTCACCGTCCACCGCGCTTGTGGCGGGTCGTCGCGCGGACGTTACAGTGATCTGACTACTGCAAACTGCACCTACAGATCCTTCATGCCGAGAAAGTCCAGATCTCACGTAGCACTGACTTCGGACTGCTGGCCAGAGTGTACACGTCGGCTGCCGTGTCAGTACGCTATGCGCGGTCTCCTACAGCTATTCACTTCCTCTTCGTTCCGTTCTGACATTTGATCTGATCTCCTCGTAAGCAGTATCCCGACATTTTTCCACCGATCTAGCGCTAACAGAGCAAGCGGCAAGCTGCTCATCAAGACCCGTCCGTCGACAGCCGTCCAAGTGAGCGAAGAGCGGAAGCTCGCTTCTGGTAGAGCTCTCGGCTAATACGGGATCTTTCTGCGGAGCAGAGCCTTGCCAGAGTCGGATCCTTTCTCACCTCATTTCACCCGCCCTTCCCCCCTCCCCTCGCCCCCTCCCCTCCCTCTTTCCCTAGTAAGTACCGGGATGCTTTCGACTGGACAACTTGAAGGAGAGCTAAATCATGCGTGCAGAAACATGTGTTTGGCAGCTACACCGTCCCATGAGGTTCACGTCGGCACAAGGGGTCTTTGGACTGTTGATCCCATATCGACGTCCATACTGCAACGGACAGTTCCCATCCCTTTCACTGCTCAAGAGGCACCACCATGAGCAGCAAGCCTCAAGCGATCGATCGCCACCAGTGTATGCCTTGTGCATATTCCACGGACTGCCATACGCACTGGGCCGCCCATCAGACGGCCGCTCACCAGAGCAGCGATTGGTACCGGTGCCCTTTCGCGGCCTGTCGGAATCGAGCGCCGAATATGAATCACCTGGTTCAACATCTATCCGGGCGTAGACATCAATACCCGATCCCTCGGGTTCATGTCTCTCCTGCGGAAAACCGTTTAGCACGGAGCAGGATCTTGGCCAGCACATCTCTTAGGCTCGAGCCGGCACACTCAAAAAGTGCAATGGAGCATGAGCTGAGTATGGTTGGTATATATATACCGGAGCACTAGGTGAGATTCCCTTCGCGGCATGATGTTTATCCGCTGACGTTAGCTTGCTACTCGTAGGAGCCGACGACACGCGACTCGATTCCGGTTTTGAGATGGAATAGTTTAGCCGATAATTGGAATGCATCCTAATAGTTGTACCTGCTATCTTGTGGCGGTCTCTCCGGGTGATACGAGTGCGATGGTGTCCGTACCGCCTGTAACGCCGCGGGATTGAGGCTGGCCATGAGGGCTTGGAGGTTGTGATTTGGCGGGGGCGCTGGCTTGTTGGAGATGAAGAGGGCGAGGAGGAGTGATTGGGTCCTGCGGGTGGGGAGGGAGTAGCCGTCTAGGAGATCGGTCAGGTCTGGGGATGGGTCGGAAGGGCGCAGAGGGATGAGATAGATTTCTCTCGCGGCGGCCGGAGGCACCGATGGGGCGTTGTCATAGGGTCGATACAGAGCGTGACGGTCGCGCTGAATGTGGAACTGGATGATCTGGTCCCAGGCGGAGATCTGCTCGGGCGTGGCCCGAGGGTCGAGGGTGATGGCCGCGGTTATGATCTGCTTGGCGGGGTTGAGCCTGGTGTCGCTGAGGAATTGGAGACTGGCGGTGGTGGGGACTCTTCCGGTGATCTCGATGGGGTTGCGAGGGAGCAGGAGGGGGAAATCGACCAGAGGTGATCTCGCGACCAGTCGGAGGTGGACGGGAGGGGTGTGAGGGGAGGGGTTGGACGGGTTGACGATGCCGCCTGACCAGAGAATGGGCTGGGCGAGGAACGAGGCGGTGTCGTCGGGGGGGTCGGGGGAGTCGAGACGGGCGGCGATGTCGACGTCAGGGGCGATATCGCTCAGATCGAGCGTGGTCTGGTCCACTGCGTGGAAAGGTTCAGGAGAGGGCTCCTTGCCCCATGCCGATAGGAGTGAAGCCGGCTCAGGCTTCGAGACGAATTTCGGCTCGACGACAGGAGCCGGGGGCGGGGGCGTGGGTTCGCGTTTGGGTGGGACGATCCTGGCGGTTTGCTCCTGCTCGGCGAGCAGCTTCATCTCCCTTTCTCGCGCATTCTCCACCTTTTCGAAACCGTCCCGGCCTATGCGAATGGCGGCGACGTCTTCGCGAGGCTTGACGGTTTGCTCCAGCGCGGCTTGTTTGGCCTTTTGCAGCTGGGCGAGTTGTTCCTCCGAGGCGAGGTCGGCGGAGGTAAGGGTGGCTATCTGCACGGGAGTCATGGTGGGGAGTGCGGTCGCCAGCTCCGGTCGAAGGCCCCGGGCTATGGACGAGCTGAGTAGGTTGAATTGGGTCCTGGCGTCAGCGCGATCACGAGGGTGACTCACTTGTAGCGCGTCCCTGCGGTTTCCTTTCCCCCAACTACGTCTTTGAAGTGGTGATACATGGCCTCCTCGATACGAGCGACCGTGTCCTCGAGGGTGGGCGAGGTGAACACAGTGGCGAACCGAGGGAGGAGCTGATCCCGAACGTATTTGCGGACCGGTGGGAGGGTCTGAGGGGGGACCTTTTGTGGCTTGGGCTTGGCGGGTTTAGGGGGCTCAGGCGAGGCCGCGCTGGATGAGGATCCGGAACTCGAAGACTGGTAACTTGGAGTTGCCCTCCGCTTCACCTGCCTCCGCTTGGGCGACGGCGACGGAGACGGGAAAGAGGCGATGTCATGGGTGTCTGGCATCAGCAGAGTCATACACCAAACTCACAGGTCGTCGTGTGGCCTCTGTCATGACACCCGGGACACGCGTATTTGTCTGTCATCAGCGGGCTCAACACGAGGACTCACGTATCCGCTCCGCCTCGTCTTCCGTGACCCCCACGCATGCAAAGTGGAACCTGACATTAGCACCGCCGCAACCCCTCACCCACCAGTCGTTACATTCCCCACACTCGATCATCGGCCCGCCGCTATCCGTCCTGCAGACGCAATACACCTCAGGCTCGGGTGTCGGCTCCCGGACCACCTCCCTCGCCCCGCGCAGGTACCGCCTCGTATCCTCAGCCTCGAGCACCCGTTGTGACTTGACTCTGGTCCTCTTTGCCCTCGTCTCTGACATGGTGTGAAGAGCAAGATGCAACATTAAAGAGATGCGAATCACGTGGATTTGTTCCCGCCAAACGCGACGTGATGACAATGGGATCCTGGGTGTGAGAGACCGCGATCGTGCTACTCGCCAAGCGGTCTAACATCGCCATGACATGCAAACCCAGGGCGAGCTCTCACTCAGACCTTTCTTTGCATACGCGAAACCCCAAGATCGCTCGAGAGGTTTCAAGAATCAGGATCTTTGACGAAGCCGCTTGGCACCCAGGGCGACCCCCAGGCAAAAAGGAAGTGATGGCGGTGAGATTCGAACTCACGAGCCCGAAGGCATCACCTGGATGCTAGGGAGCCCCATAGCAAGGTGACGTAATAACCACTATACGACGCCACCATCTTTTCTGGATGCCACCTGACACACACAGTATATACCCCGCTGCCAAAACATAAGTGCTCGGGTCATGACCTCTGAGCTGACGGCCGGCTTTAGCATTACCTAGTCGTGTTGAATTCCATCCATGAGCAACGTCACCACAGGACGCGCACATCCAGGCGGCTAGCTCATCGGAGGTGCTATCCCTTTAGCCTATCCTAATTCGTGAGCAACGTCCCATAGGACGGCCAGATCCAGAAGAACCTTCCCTTGACCGTTGCTACCTTCGCTGCTGCAGCTCTACGCCTCCTCCCCCTCAAGGCATAAGAATACTATCACCTCTAGCCTCGATCTGTGCTTTTTGGGAGGCTCGGGCTTTTTGGTGGAGGAAGCGAATGCGGGAAAGGGAGAAGGAAGGCCATATCGGATCTGCAGAGCTAAGCGCTGCCGTCTTTGACCACGATCCATGCTGTCGAACTATCCCCTGCGCCGTCGTCTCCCTACTAAGTACAGAGGCGGTACTGTCTGTTATTCCCTCCCTTGTGCTCTTTGGCTGATGTCTCGATGCTTCTTCGCTCGCACTCATGAATTTATTTAGACCCACGCGTCTATCGACTAGGCCATATCCAAGCATATCAACGGCGAGGTGGTCATCGCCAATGACGGTGCCACTATTCTCAAATGCATGGCTGTGCTCCACCCTACAGCTCGTATGGTGTGTCATAACGCTGAGTGCGCAACCGTGAAGGCGGTTCACCGTCGTTTCCGGTGGCGTTGGTCTGCGTGGACAACGCGATCGACGCGGAGTTGGGCACGGGGGTAGCCGATGCGGCTCTGGAACAGAGCAGTGACTCCCCATGTGTGGAGGAGCGCGTCAGCGGGGCTCGTAAGCCTCCAAAGGATGGCTACGGGGGCGAAAGGGGGGTAGAGAGGGAAGAGAACAGCCGTGCAACGAGGGGCCGAGGACGCGACACCAAGTCTGGCTTGTGGGGGGAAGGTCAGGCAAGCTACCGGTGATCGAGATGTTCGAGGTCACGGCCAGGTGTAGCGATGGAGCACTAGCATGAGTCACGAGCTTGCCTAACGCGATCCAACTGGCGTCTTTGCAAAGGGGTACTTTCTATGGCTAGGTGTCGCGAGTGGCGCGAGCGCGAAGGCGGTGTGCAGGACCGACCGACTGCACGGGTCCCCCGGTCTGTTATACGCGGTGCCGAGACGACCGTGGCCGTGTCAGGCGGAGTCGTCGGAGGACGTAATCTCAAGGTCCCGTGGAGTCTGTAAAGGTCCCACTGCATGATGACCGTTGGTGCGAGCGCAAGCCACAAGGGAAGACCACCAGGTTGGTAGGCATTTGGCACGAACATGATCATCAACGGCGTGATTCACACTCGCACCATGGCTCCTGGCTCCCTCAAGCTCCAGACCCCCTGACCTCCCGCCCTCCTGACCCCCTGACCCCGTATTATGACCTGACCGCTGACTGAGCTCTAACCGCTGTCGATTGCAAAGCAGTCGCGTTGCCACGTGCGTTGCACCACGTGGGATCGTTCGGTGGCCAAGTATGATGCGGTGATCATTTCACTTGGACATTTGCGTCCTCTTCACCAAAGACTCAGCTCAACCATGACACGGCCGGACTCTCCTCCCATGTCTTCAGATGACACCGGCGTGGAGCTCCACGACGAGCTCGACCTGGTGGACACCGCGCCCACGCCGACTCGGCCGGCGAAACGACCCTCTCAGCCAAAGGGCAAGCGCGGGGTGGGCAAGTGGAAGGGGAAGCGGAAGGAGGAGGGCGAGGACGGGGATTGGTGAGTGAGCGGTGGAGCACCCCGCTAACGGCAGCCACCTGCTCAACCTGCCGGAGGACGTGGTGCATATGCTCCTGTGCAGGCTGTCGCCGCGGACTCTGACCCAGCTGTCCGCGACGTGCAGGGATCTGCGTGAGGAGCTGGAGGATGAGTCTATCTGGCGGTCGAGCTATATCAATCGCTTTTTCTGGGATGGAGCCGCGCGGAGCGACCGTGTCAAGCACGAGACCAGGGTCCTGGTACAGGGTTGCTTGAACGGAGGAGGGCGGGGATGGCGCAAGGAGGCGTTGAGCCGGGAGGCGATGGTGGGGTGAGTCGCGCCCACGGTTCGGTGCTGATGTCAGGCGATGGGTGGATTCGAAAGCAGGGATGCGAGTGCACGTCCCGCCGACCGGTCTCATCGACAGGCTCTCCTTATCCTACCCGCGTTACGTGCCAAAGCCACAACCCCTGGTCGTGGGCAAGAACCAGCCGAACTCGGCGACACCGGTCGTAGGCAGAAACCACGCGAACGCAGCGACACCAGCTTCAGTCGTCGCGACACCAGCGACAGTCGCCGCCACACCAGCGTCAGTTGCTCTGACCTCAGCATCAGCTGCCTCGAACCCAGCTTCAGACACCGCATCGACCCCGGCGCCCCCGCCTCCCGACACCCCGCCGACCTCGGCCAAGCTCACGCACAGGCAAAAGTACGAAGCGATCCTCGCGGCGACGACGCGGCCGCCACCGCACGTATACACTGCATCGGTGTTTAGCGGGGCGGTGGTGCGAAGTGACCCGGTGGGGGGAAAGTCGACCAAGGGGTATTGGGGTCCAGGCAGAGATGGTACGTGGGTGTGTAGCGACGGCGCTGACCTCAGCGAATCTGCATCTCCGGCCGCATCCCGACGCGTCGAGCGGGACGTCCGCGGTGCATCTCCACGCTCGGTCCCAGTCTCACGTCCTGTGGGGTCTGCACACTGGGTCATGCGTGCACACCTCGGTGCAGACGAAACACTCGGCGACGCACGGGGGCCGAGCGCTGTCAGTGAACGTGCGGTCGGATCTGCAAGACGCCCACGAGGGGGAGATCACCTGCATATGGCAATCGGGGGAGACCCGCTGGGTGACGGGGGGTCTGGATGGCCGGGTCAAGGTGTGGGAGTATGATCCGGGGACTGGCGACCCGAGGTCTGGAAAAAGGACGCCAGAGGAGGCGATCCCCGCGTCAATCGCCTGTCTGTTTACCTCGCCGGGGACCTCACTGCGCTCGGACTCGGTGATCCTGGCGAGGTACGACCCAGAGTACGATGTCGCCTGTGGAGTCGCCAACGGTACCCTCCGAGTGTGGTTGTCCGCCACGACTGAGCCAAAGGAGATCCGTGTGGATCTCGGACCGGCAGGGCTGGACATTGCGGGGTTGGAAATGGTCGTGAGGTGCGAAGACGGCCGAGTCCTGGCCAAGGTGCTCTCGCGGTCGCACCGGTCTACTTTTGTGACTTGTGACGTGGTCGCCCAGGAGGGCCATGTCCGGACGATCGTGTACGACGCTGGCTCCCCGATCACCGCGTTGCACACGTCGTTCACCCCGTCTGCCCCAATAGGCACGTCAGAAGAGCCCCAGGCGTTCGGAGGATTCTTCATCGCCGGGGACGCATCAGGCTACGTGCATATCTTGGCATTGGCCGCGGACGCGACCCGACCGTTACGCAGTTGGGACACCGGTACCAAGGTCACCGCGATCGACTACTCGTGCGGTCTCGTCGCGGTCGGAAGGTGGGTCCATACCCTCGAACGCGCTGACCCATAGTTACGACGGGTATATAAAAATATTCGACCCCCTGCCGTCGCCTCCAACCCTGCTACGCTCATTCCACGCCTCGCGCCTGACCCCCGGGGAGGCGCTCGTGGCGGGGTCGGACAATCCCGACGCGGCGTACTACACTGTCAACCAGATCATCCTGGAAAATGACCTGGTGGTGGCGTCCATCGGGCGCAAGGTGTTCTCCTGGCGCGCAGGATCGGGCAAGGGCAGGCAGAGCGGCAAGGAGAGCGGGTGGCGAAAGACCACGCCTGGGAAGGGCGAGAAGGGGAGCTCGAGGGGGTTAGGTGAGTGCAATGCGACGAGCTGGCTGACCGGGAGACATGAAAAAGATCCATCAGGCGGCCGTGGCCGAGCACGACGAGCTGGCGCAGACGCCCACACGGCGGCCCCGTGTCAATGGTCACGAGGCGAACGAGATTCAGGCGATGGAGGAGATGGGATTGGAAGATGGAGAGGATGCGCTGCAATATGCGATGCTGTTGTCGATGGAGGGGGCGGGGCTCGAGGGACACGATGGGTCCCGCGAGGAGACCGCCGTCGACGCGGAGACTCGTGAGGCGATCCGACAGGTCGAGGCGTTCCAACGGCAGGAGGAGGCCGAGCTGGAAGGGATGCTGGAGATGATACGCCTGGCTGAAGGGGCGTCCTCCGGTCCGCATGCTGGCAATGAGGGCTAGTGTGCCGGAGGCAAGCAAAAGAGGGCACCGATGCATCGGGCATTGGCAAGCTCAGCCTGGACAATGCATCGTTGATTCCAGGGCAAGACAGCCGTAGCCACGCTGAAGTGCTACTCGCGTGGAGCGCAGTAGGAGCTTGACCGCACAATGTCTGATTCAGGTAGGGTGGACTCCGCGACCTTCAGGTGTCAGTTGCGCGCAGCGTCGCGGTTGCGGTCACAACAAAGCATGCCTCGGCCTTAGCAGTCACAATGCAGCCCTGACGGCTTGTAATACGAGTCCGTTGCTGCGTTGCTGCCATTGGCATAGTACAATTCTGATTCTGCGCGACAACGACATCCTGAGACGCGTCAAACTGGCTCCCAGTGCAGGACATCACCCACATGAGGATGAGGGACCCCCAGCCCCAAACCCGTACCGAATCCTCGAAGAAGATTGAAGCAGAGCCGCCGCGCAAATGCTGTGACGTAACGACACGCCTCGGTCAAAAGTATCGTCCGTCGCTCCCTTCTTGCTTCATCACACACCATGCTTCGGTTGATCGCCGCCCGCTCAGGCTCGCACGCCTCCAGGCGGTACGTCCAGACCTCGGCGGTGGCGTACAAAGCTACGGTCACCCCGTTGCTCCTGAACAGCCCGCAATACAGCTACACCTTGGGCCTGTCGTACGCCTCCAAAGATTCCCCCCCGTTCATCCCCCCCGGTCGAAAAGCAAAGCCTTATGGGTAT